ATGCCATCCCTGCCAGGGATTTGTTAAGTTTTTCTATACAGTAAAGCTTTCTTTTATGCCTTTTAGTAAGGTTTTATAGTTTTCTTTCTATGAGCCTTGTCATTTCTTTTTAAGGTTATGCCTAGATATTGTATAGCATTCATTGCTAATATAAATATAATCTTTAAAAATCATACTTTCTAAATGGAAGTCACTGTTATTTAGCACTGTATTTAGTGGGCCTATATAACAGTTCTCCCTGCTTCCGAGTTTGAAAGAAACTGAGCCATGGGTACATACAAGATGAAAATGCTACCTTTACCACTGATAAAGTTGACTGGAATATGTAACTTTTGATCTGTAGCCAACTGGACTTGCTTTATTTCACCCTGAATGCGATAGGTTTACCTCTGACATAGCAGGCAGTGCAGTACAGTAGTATCCTTCTGCCCCCTCCCCAAAGATCTGTCTACAGGTAGAGAGGACACTCTGTACAATCAGCTGAAGCCAAAAAGAGAACTCAGAAGCATCTACTCTTGTTCAATTCCTTCTACTGATCAGATAAATTGCGTATATTCCCCTAGGGTGGAAAGATCAAGAGTCTTATTCTAGTGGAAGTCCTTCTGGATAGCCTCTCCCTTAACATTTTAGAAAATCATTGATTTGGTGTTTATCTTCTAACTAAACAGCTTACTGAAGTCTTTAAAAATTTTAAAGACTGATTCTTTTTGATTTTTATTTTTAGGCAAACACTTAAAACACAAATAAATAATGAAATTTCCAATATTTCAATTTCTTATTTATTTTTCTTATCTTATTACATAGGCTTTAGCTTGTAGCAATTATCAGGCATCCTTATGTTAGGGGGAAATGATGTCCTGAGTTAATCCCATACAGGCTTTGTGGACCCCACCCCCACTCCAGACTAAAGCCATCAGGACATTGGGAAAGACAAATCCCATCACCACAAGGGAGGGTGGCTGGGACCTGAGGGTGGAGTTGGGCAGCCAGGTTGGATATAAAAACCAAACACGTGGGCCTTGGGCTCGCTGGCTCGCGGTCGTTTGCCTCCTGGCTTCACCGCTCCTGGCTGGCGGCCAACTCTGAGAGCGCCATTTTGGGATTCCTGATCGGCGGATTGGGTAGGACTCATTTAAAACTTTGTCTCCCACTTTTCTCCCAGAGCTGTACATTTCCTCATTTCCCTTCCCTGGTAAATAAACCTTTTATTAACCTTTCACGTGTGCCTGCAGTAGAGCATTGATAAGTCCTTTTAAGCGCGCGGGTGACGACCCACAGTCAGGCACCCCGTTTTGTATCGGGGTTACTCTACAACAGTTATTTGATTTCTCAGGTAAGGTAAACAAGAATACCTTTATTTGTTTCACATTAAATATGTTTGTTGATGGCTTTTGATATACTGTGTCATGGTATAAAGTTTAAATCGTCTTCAGTAGTTCACTAAGTTTAAAAAATGTAATTGGAGTTGAAGTTTATCAAATAATACATTTAGCAGCTATTCTGATGATAATGTCCTATGACATTTTCCTTTAACAGTACAATGAATTTACACATTTCCTAACGTTGGACTAATCTTTCCACTTTCAAAATAAAGCTTGCTAGATCATGTTGGGTTTTGAATTGTTCTACAGAAAGCTGGATTCAAATAGCTAACATTTTATTTAATAGTTTTGCAACAGGGTGGTCCCCAGGAAAGGGGGAGGTTCCCTGCCCCACCCAAGGGAGGGTGGAGCTGAGCAGGAAGAGGAGAAGCTGCAGAAGAGACTGAGGAAGGAAGCAGGATGGAGCCAGAAGGAGACCTGGAGGAGGCGCATGGAGCCTAGAGACACGTGAAGAAACTGCGCTTGTCTTTTGGTCGTGGACTGGGTGACACAGATGTGGGTGAGACCCGTGGGGAGGTGACAATGGCAGCTTTTATCTTGATGTTGATTTTGCTCTTTTCCTTCCGGGCTTGTCCGGTTGTTTGTGACCCTTTTCTGTGGGTCCCCACTGGAAGATGCTTTAGACTTGTAGCAGGCTTTGGGGCCTTGTTCTGGGCCGATCCCATATGGATGGAGTTTTACCCACGAGGGGACGGGTAACTTTGGGTGCTTTATTTAGAAACTAGACTCTTTGCCTTCAACAGGGTGGTCCCCAGGAAAGGGGGAGGTTCCCTGCCCCACCCAAGGGAGGGTGGAGCTGAGCAGGAAGAGGAGAAGCTGCAGAAGAGACTGAGGAAGGAAGCAGGATGGAGCCAGAAGGAGACCTGGAGGAGGCGCATGGAGCCTAGAGACACGTGAAGAAACTGCGCTTGTCTTTTGGTCGTGGACTGGGTGACACAGATGTGGGTGAGACCCGTGGGGAGGTGACAATGGCAGCTTTTATCTTTTTTTTTTTTTTTTTTTTTTTTATAGAGGCATGTTTATTTATTTATTTATTTATTTGTTTGTTCGTTTGTTTTGTTTATACATGCACTGGGTACAGTCAGAAGCGCGGGAGGGTGAGAGAATTCACCAGAGCCAGAGCAGGGAGCAGAGCAGGCAGAAGGACCGAAGTACACTGCTGAGGGGAGCAGCGGGCGGCAGGAGAGGTCTGCGCGCCATGTGGGACCCTCCTCCAGTGGCCGGGGAGCAGCCGGGGATCGAACCGGAGCCGCAGAGGTCGCCGGCAGCTTTGCAACCCAGCGCTCAACCGCTGCGCCACCGGGGAGGCCCTGGCAGCTTTTATCTTGATGTTGATTTTGCTCTTTTCCTTCCGGGCTTGTCCGGTTGTTTGTGACCCTTTTCTGTGGGTCCCCACTGGAAGATGCTTTAGACTTGTAGCAGGCTTTGGGGCCTTGTTCTGGGCCGATCCCATATGGATGGAGTTTTACCCACGAGGGGACGGGTAACTTTGGGTGCTTTATTTAGAAACTAGACTCTTTGCCTTACCTGTATTGTTTCCTAGTTTTTATTAAAGTTCCTTCCCATTAAAGTCTCCTATGTTTTGTGTTGATGCGGCGGATGGCAGAACCCATTTAGAATAGGCAGGTTTGCGGGGTTTGGGCTGCCCCTCTCCCTGTCCTATAACAGTTTTGCAATTATTATACTCTTAAGTGAGTTGGTCTATAGTTCTGATTCCCATATTGAAGACTGATCCATGAACTTTGAAAAGATGGTTTTGACTCATGTGGATTTGGGGATTTCCAAGCTAAACAGGTTTTTTTACTCCTGGAATTCACACAGACCTAAATAGACTAATACATATTATGCAGCTCCAACAGGTAAACTCCAGCTGGCATACAGCATTTCCTCAAGTTATTTGATCACAGAACCTCTTTTTTCAAAAAAACATATATTAAGTGTCCAGAGACTAGTGTTTCATACTTGGGTGTCATTCTCCTTTTTGGTCTTACATCTGTCAGGTTTTGGTATCAGGGTTTATACTAAATTTGGAAAGTAAAATGAAAAACTTGTTTTTTTCCTGTGTGAGAGTTTAAATAACATAGGGCTTGACCATCCTATCTGAATCAATGGCTTGTCTGAGTGATCCAGATGCTTGACATACACACACTTGCGCTTCCCCCCAGGACCTGTTTTTATCCAGCAGCCAATTCTGCCTGCCACCCTTCTCTTTCAGACCAAATAGCTATTTGGGAAAAGCCTAGAATGTGTGAAAATGAGACTTGATGCATTAGGAAATTGATACTGATCACTCTTGCGTGGTCCTTAGCCCTAAACACTCTAGCCTCCTGACAAGAATCCTTTCCCGTAGTGTCCTGGGCTCTGCCTAGGATGCCTTCCTGAGGCTGGGTAGGGCTTGTCTGACTAGGGGTGCCAGGTCTGCTCTGGCTCCCTCCTCCTGGTCACTCTAGGTGAGGGTCAAGCTCATTTAGCTCCATTTTATACTCTGGCTTGTACCTTTCCCCAAGTATTGTAGGGCAGCTCTTCTCCTTAAAACTGTTCCTCTAGATGCTTCCCCCAGATCAGCCCCATAACCCTGGCTCTAGGTCTCTGGGTAGATCGTTACCCCCAGAAGGGGGGCGCTAAGAATTGTTAGTGGGTTGGGGTCAGTTGAGCTGCCTGGACTTAGTCCGGGCCTTATGTAAGCCTGTATGGGTCCCCCGAGGACGCTGGGGGCTTTCTGAGCTGGAGTAAATGGGACTGAGGACAGGCCTGGGGAGGGCTGGTTGTCCTTGAGAGAGGGGTGTGTGTGTGGGGGGTGTGTGTGTGGGGTGTGTGTGTGGTGTGTGTGGTGTGTGGGGGGTGTGTGTGTGTGTGTGTGTGTGGTGTGTGTGTGTGGTGTGTGAGAGTGTGTGTGTGTGTGAGAGAGTGTGGTGTGTGTGTGTGGTGTGTGTGTGGGGGGTGTGAGTGTGTGTGGGGTGTGTGAATGTGTGTGGTGTGAGTGTGGGTGTGTGTGGTGTGTGGGGGTGTGTGTGTGGTGTGTGAGTGTGTGTGTGGGGGGGGTTATGAGTGTGTGTGGGGTGTGTGTGAGTGTGTGGTGTGAGTGTGTGGTGTGTGAGAGTGTGTGTGTGTGATTTTATCTGAGATTCCCAGAGGCCTGGGGGCTCCAGGGCCCCGAGGCGGTGCGGCAGGGCCGGCCCGGCTTCGGCGAGGCCGGGGAGAGCCGAGTGGGGGGCAGAGACCGGCGGGGGGCGGTGTGGGGGGGTAATCGGCGCCCCAAGCTCCTCCTCGGCGGCCGGGGGCTTCCGTCCGGGGTCTGAGGCGGCCGCGGCCGGAGGTCAGCGGGGCCTGCCCGGGCGCGAACGGGCCGGGCCGCGGGGAGGCCGAGCCGGGAGGCGGGTGCCGGCGGCGGGCTCCGGCGCGAGGGCCCCCCGCCCCCCGCCGCGCCAGCCCGGGCGCCGGCGCCTACCCGGGCCCAGCGCGGAGCCGGAGCCGCCGCCCGCGCCGGGAGCCGCCGCGCCGTGGTCGCCGCCGCCGCCAGGCCGCGCCCCGCCCCCGCCGCCGCCGCCGCTCCCGGCTGAGGCTCGCGCTCGAGCTGCGGCGCCGGCCCCGCCGCCCGGCCCCGGGCCCGGCCCCTCCCGCGCCGCCCGGGCGATGAGAAGCTGCTTCTGCGTGAGACGGAGCCGGGACCCGCCGCCGCCGCCGCCCCAGCGGGGAACAGTTAAGTGAGGCGGGCGGGCGCCGGGGCTCGGCCGAGCCGGCCCTGCTGCGGCCCCGGCGGGCGGGCGGGCTCGGGCCCCGGGCCGAGGGGCGGGCGGGCGGGCGGAGCCGGGCCGCGCCGAGGCCTGCGGGCTCCGTGCCCGGCCCGCCGCGGGGACAGGCCCGGCGGCCTCTGCCCGGCCCTGCGCGCCGCGGCTCCCGGCTGCAGCCCGGCCTGGCGGGGCGGGAGGGAGCTCGGGCACGCTCAGGCCGGGCGCCCCCAGGGCCGGGGCAGGTGAGGGCCTGCAGAGCCGCCGTGGCCACCTGCACAGACCCGGGACACTCATGGGGCCTGGCCTGGGGTCCATCTCTCCGCGGCCACATGGGTGCAGAACGGCGTGCACCTGAGTCTCGGACATCTTCTGGGGTGTGGCCTCATCTGCCACCTGGGCACACAGGGAGGACACCTACACCCCAGGGCACCTGTCTGCATGATGAGGTGCCCCGCGTGTGTGTCCACAATGCAGAGTACCCATTCTGGAAGGATGGTGGGCATGAGGCCCGGGGACAGGGGCTGGGGCAGGCGGTATAGCCTCGTGCCAGGGGACCTCAACTCCCCAGAAACAACCCCAGGTGAATAGGGCAGACCCACAGCGTCTTTGTCCCTTTTGTTACCCACACACGACTCTTCCTGAATTATCAGCCTTTCTGACCACCGTGAAAGATGGGACTTCTGTCCCTGCCCTGTCTCTCAGCAAGGCAGGGAGGAAGGCCACAGGGGCAAATGGCAAAAATGGCTGTTGTCCAGTTTCTTTCCCACCCCCACCCAGAACTAGAGCCCACTCAAATTTCTGCCACAAAAGCAGACAGCAGGCCAGCGCCTCTTTGGGGCCTTTGTCTCGGGTGGTTCCTTCTTAATTTAATCTCATTGTCCATTTCTTGACAGCTGGCAGCTGGATCTCATCTCATTTTAACAGGGCTAGAAAACCTTATCAACTGCCCCAGAAAGTTAGCAGAGGAGCTCTGCGGAAGCCTACACTAACTGAAAAACGCAGGGTACTCGAAGGTTAGTTGCAGGAGACAGGTGGCCTCTGTTCTGCTCCCTGGAGCTCGTGTGGGTTCTTTGCCATGCCATGCTCAGAATTACCCCAGTGGCGCCTCCGCTGGGGCCTGGCACCAAGACCTGTGTGGAGCTGTTGACATGGCAACCTCTAGTTTTGGAGCCTAGAATCATCTTTAATCAGCATATTTCATTCCTTACTTCTGGCCTTTAGGCCACATTCCTGATTTCTACTGAAGGCATTTTCCCTGTCCTGCCTCCACCCTGCGGCTGGCCTTGCCCCATTTCTATGTGGAATCGTACATTGGGGTTACACGCAGGGACCTTAGAATTAGACCCCAGCGTCTCTCTTGGTTTTCCTATTGCTATGTCTTCTTGCCAAATTGACGAAATTTTCTGAGCCTCAGTTTCCTCCTCAGTAAAGTGAAGCTAAAGATAGTCACTACCTGTTAGGATTATGATGAGAAATGAATGAAATATTGCAAGTGCTTAGCTTCACGCCTGCCACGGGGCAAGAGTTCAGTAAAAGTTCGTGGTAGTTATTAAAGGTTTGTTAACTGATTAATCAGAAGAGTAGCTTCAATTTTTTTTTTTTTCCAGAGTACCTTTCTACTTGTGGTTATTATTTAGGTCTTTGCCCAGGGCAGCGGGGAAGGGATGATATAGTAGAAGGAACTCTGGGTTGGATTCAGGAGCTTGAATACTGAGATTAGGATCTAATCAGGTGACCCTAGGCAAGTTGTGGAACTTCATGGAAACTTCCTGAATCCCCATCTCTTTGTTTTTAATAATGGCCTAAGAATAAAACCTACCCTGAAAGGTCGCATGAGCTTGTGTGTGAGTATCCTGGCACTGCCCATGGTGGGAGTCTTCGCTAAATTTAAGTGAGGTGCAATGACAGATCCCAGTTTTGCGGGTCTGACATTTATCCAGTTGGGGTGGGGGTATAAGAAAAAGAATCCAAGAATACCTTGTTTTAGTACATTTTACAAAACCTCAGGACCAAGTAAAGACATTGCTGGATCCCCCCTTCTGGGGTGTTGGTAGGGGCCAGGGGGCTGTCCTGAGTGTACACGGCCATCAGTTTCTTGGTAGATCTGCTTCCACGGGATCGGAATCCCCTCTGCCTTAGCAGTTGGAAGTGCCCCATGCTTCATGCTCAAGGAGTGACATCCTTGCCACACTGGAAAGTAATGATGGTGTTGGCTCAAGCATGGGAAATGTCAGAGGTGCTATTATGATGATGAAGATAACAAATGACTACACGACTGCATGTGGGGGGCTGAGAACTCTGTATTTAGTTGGCTGCAGTTGAGTGAGCAGAGTCTCCTTTGCTCTTTGGGCTGTGGGAGAGGAGGCCTGGGTGCCTCAAATGAGCTGCCTCTCCCCACGCTGTTCTCAGCCTCGCTGAGGCCCTCCCTGGCTGAGCTTCACAGGCCCCCTGAGCTCTCTGTGACCTTCTGCTCGCTGGGCTGCCCTTGGGAGTTGTGGTTTCCCTGTGTCACCTGCGCTGTTTGCAGCGGGCTTGCCCATGTCGAGCCCTCTCTGCAGCTGCTGGGAGGCACAGCAACCGCAGGGTGTGTGGGACACTACCTCCCCTGGTGGGGACATCCTGTGGGCATGTTCGGTTTAGTTGACACACTTCTGGCTAGAGGTGGCGCTTGTCCACGCTGAAATGTGAGAAAGCCACAGGCCAGGAGCCCAGCACTCCAGCTTTGTAGCTCATGCTTCCCTGTGGACTAAAGGACGAGCTTATTGGGCTTGTGGGTAGAATCAGCACCAGATATCATTCTCTCTCTCTCTACACACACACACACACACACACACACACACACACACACTTTTTTCAAAGGATACTTACTGATCAGCAAAGTAAAATGTTCAAAAGGAGCTCCCTTATTCCTTTCGAAAGAAATAAATACTTAATAAGTTACATATGTTTGTGAAAATGCAGATTACAGGGCTTTTTCCCAGATCTTCAATCAGGATATTTGGGGAAGAGGCCCCAGAATCTGCATGTTTAATGGGAACTCTGAGCTGTACTTATACTTACTGAAATTTGAGTCCCACAGTTGTAGGTGCTTTCATGTTAATTGTAAAATACATGTAGCATAAAATTTACCATTTTCGTTATTTTGAAGAGTACCGAGCAGAGTGGTGTCAAGGAGGTGGCTGTGTAACTCATTCCAAAACTTTCTCATTTTGTAAAACTTGAATCTGTGCCCATGAACAGCTGGTCCCTGCCCTCCCAGCACCCATCATTCCACTTGCTGTTTCTACAAATGTGACGACTTGAGGTGCTGCCCGTAGGCAGAACCCCACGCTGTTTGTCTCTGAGTCTAGCTTGTTTCAGGGAACGTAACGTCGTCCAGGGTCACCCACATCGCAGTGCGTGTGGCATCTTCCTCTTCAAGAGGGACAACCCTGCGGTTATATAAATGCCACATTCTGCTTGTCTGCTTCTCTGCCCATGGGCGCCTGGGCCGCTCTGGCTTTTGGCCATTGTAAGTAACATCGCTGTGAACTTGGTGTACAAATACCTCTTCAAGGTCCTACTCTCCATTCTTTGGGAGTAGATCCCCAAGTGGACTGGCTGGATCCTATGGTAATTGAAAGACTTGTGTGAAGACCCGCCTGCAGCGGCTGTGCCAGTTCCCATTCCTGCCAGTCGTGTGTGCGCGAGGGGCCCAGCTCTTCCCGCCTCCACAATCTCCGATTCTCTGCGTTGTTGTTTTTCCCCAGGGTGCCTTCCTAATGGGTGTGAGATGGTATCTGCTTGTGGTTTGGTTTGTATTTCCCTCATGACGAGTGATGTTGGATACCTTTTCACTTGCTTGTTAGCTACTTATATACTCTCTTTGGAGACAAGTTTTCAAGTCTCTTGCCCATTTTTTTCATTGAGTTCCTTGTTGAGTTGTGGGAGACCTTGATAGGTTTGGATATTGGCCCTTTATCAGATATGATTTACAAATATTTCTCCCTTCTTCACTCTTGTTGATTGTCTTTTGATACAGATTCTACAAGTTCTTTCTACCCATTATATCTCTGTAGAGAATGTATTATTAGCTGTTATTCCAGATGTAAAACTGGAGTGACTCATCTGGGATCACACAGCTCTAAATGTCAAGCCCGGGTTCAAGCTTGGGCACCTCAGAGCCAAAGCCTACCCGTCCCATCCCTCTGCTCTGCTCCCCATCCGCCTTCAGCACAGGAGGCCCCTTTTAGGTCTGCAGGAAGTGGCAGTGGCGTGAGAGGCACTCTGTTACTAAAGAGGAAATGTCAACAAAAGACTTGGGGATGTCTTCCTTGCCACCACTGAGGCATTGACTGCCATGTGCCAGGCCCTGTCAGGTAGTGGGTGTGGGAGGATGCTTCAAGGGCAGGGTGGCAAGGTCAGCTGAGTAGAGGCATTCAGGGAACATGCAGCACACCCTAAAGGCACATCTCTGGCTCTCGAGAAAACTCGGGCTATAGCGGTGTTCTGGAAGCGTCGCCGTACAGGCCGTACAGGCAGAGTGGCTGGATGACGACACCTATGAAAAGAAACGGCCAAGACCCGTTGAAGGCCCAGAAAGGGCGGGCGGTGATGCACTTGCCTTGCTGAATGTCAGAAACCAGAGGTGCTGTTGCTTCGGGCCTGGGAACTCACTGCCCAGGATTGAGGTGACATGTTGACATTTTTCTTCTGCAGGCTTTGTAGCCATCAGGGCTAGGGCATGACTCATCGGATGTCATTGAACATCAAGACAGTGTTGTTCTTGGAGCCCCTGGCGAGGCTTCCTTTGCAGGGTGCCTGCCTTCTGTTGGGGTTGTTCTCCTGCAGTCAGGGACAATATGGCACCAGGACCTGATGGGGTTCCCCACTCCACCACCTGGCCCCTGCCAGCACCAGGTCCCTTTGGTTTTGCCTGTAAAGGGCAAGGCTTTGGCTACGGCTGGGGGATAGAGTTTGATTCAGATTTATTTCTGGAGAGTGATTCTGGGATCCAGCTTTGTACTGTAACAGGCTGTACAACTAGAGCGCCAGGCCTGCCTCGCATGGAAAACCTGCTTGGTAATCAAATGACGAATAGCCATCTAAGCTTAGGGCAGGCCGAATGGCTGCATTTACACACAGGATTCTTCTGTCAGAAGTAACAGGCCTTTATGGGGAAAAGGAAATGCTCACCATTGTTAGTTCCCCAGCTGGAAAATTCTTTGTGATCTAGAAGAGCTTAGAAAAATATTTGCTTTAGTTCTCTACTATCTCAGCAGCCTTCCCAGCAGCCTGTGTGGCCTGTGGCCACCTGGCCATACTCGACAGGGTTGATTTGATTTGTGACTGGTCACCATGGAAGCTGTCCAGACCAAAGGGCAGGAGCACACCCGCATGCTGTCTTGAGAGTTCACAGGGGACACTTCTTAGCCTGTCCTCTGCCTTCCCCACTCGCTAGCGCCTGGGAGCCGGCTGGCCATTTACTTGGGTGCCGCCTGGACCCTGGCCTCAGCTTACACCCTCTTGAGGAGGTAGGTCTCTGCACCTTTGCTGTGTGGAGGTGGCTCTGTGTGTGTGTGTGTGTGTGTGTGTGTGTTGGTGTCCATTAGTGAAACCTGGCTGAGGGGCAGTGCTAGTAGTCAAGGGACAATAGAGGGGGCAGGGACTCCTGCATCGCTGCTGCTGGAAACAGCAGAGCAGCCCCCTGACGGCCGCCCCAGTAGCTGTCCCTGGGGGACAGCCGGCTCTCAGTCTCCCCCTGGCTCTGGTGCCATTTCCCGTGGTGAGTGAAATATTTATCCACTTCCCTTCCCAGGCCCACAGGCTGGTAGATGTGGACAGGCAGTTGATGCCTTTTGTGCCCTTGACTTTGGATTTCAAACAAGCATACCGCAAGTTCGTCCTTCTGTGGGGACTTCATTAACCCACCGGCTTTGTTGTTTCAATGACAGCACCCCAGTGTACCTGCCCCCCTTAATACTTTGGAATGACTCCTCAAGAGTTGTGTGCATGTCACGCCGCCGGCCCTGGTGGGCAGCGCTGGCGGTGCCGCTTCTGAGCAGGCTTTCTGGCCACAGCCTCCTGCTGTGCCTCCTTTGAAGGCAGCGCCCCCTGCCCCCCTGCAGTCCTTGCCCCCTGAAAGCACTTCAAACTCCTTCGCCCGCACCCCAGCCCTCTGCTGGAAGGGCTGAGGAGGAGAGAGGTCTGAGCTCTGTCGTTTGGGGTTTGATTTCACTGCAGGAGTTGATAAAAGGAGATAAACCCCAGGCTCCCAGGGCGGGGGAAATTAAACAGAGATGATATCAAAGTTCCCCTGAGTTTTCAACTGCAATACAGTAGCTTAGTTTTCTCCCAGACTGGGCGGGGAGGCTCCTCTTTGATTCAGAAACAATGTTCAGCATCAGTTAAACCCAGCCGGCTGACTTTTAGGGATTAGGCACACTGTTGCCTTCCCTCTTTGATCAGCTACCAGGTTGCAGCATGCTGTCTGTGCGCCAGGCCTTTCTAGTTCAAGTTCCTTTCTCTGTGAACCTGGGATGACAGCGCTGGCGGCCGAGGTGCTGTGGTGGGGCCGCTGGGGGCCCCTAGGTGCTGTTTGCAGCATTGCGGGCAGAGCAGGAAGCAGGCTGTCTCCCACCCAGTGCTGTGCGTACTTCACCTGAGCAAGGCATGACAAAAATCCTCCTTGGCTTGAGGCTTGCAGAACATGCCTCACCCCACCTGACTCCCACGTGCCCCAGTGTGTGCATGCGAGACACGCACACACTCACATGCACATGCAGTCACACATGCACACACACACAGACACTCATGTGCACACCCTCTCCCGCCTCATGGAGACACAGAACACTGCTGGCAGCAAGGCTCAGCAGTCCCCCCGCCCTTGCAAATGATCACAGGCTTGGGGTTGGAACCTGACGACCCACCGGGTGACCTGAGGAGGACTAGCCCCAGGTCAGCGCCCCACACCTCAGAGCAGATGTGAGTCCCAGGAGCTGGCCCCACCTGCATCCCTTACCTGACAGTCACTGGATCTGACTGACTTGCAGGTTGGTTCCGTCCTCCAGTGCTGGGAAATCTCCACATCCGCTATCCTGTCATCCAAAACACTGGCTCAGCGTCTGCCCCCACCCCCCCCGCCCCCAGCCCCTCCTCGCAGCCCCAGCTGGCAGGGAAGGAGGCTCCCCGAGCTCTGCCCCTCCTGCCGCCGGGCCCTGGGACTTCCGACTCCGCGAGGGGCCCGGCGGGCTGTCGCCCCGCGCCGCGGCCATCCATCAGCCTGTTCCCTCCTGCGCGACGCGCGGTCTCCCTCATTAGGCCTAAATTTACCTCCGTCCTACACGAACGTGGCCCTAGCTCATTTTTATTGTTGTAAATTATTTATGAGGGAAATGTTGAATCTTGAAACTGAGGTGTGAGGAAAATTAGTCCCATGTTCCTTTTATCTCGCTGCACTTTTCTCCCCCTCGGTCACTGGGCTGCGGCTAGAGAAAGGAGACTCTGGCCTTTTAACATATAATTAGTGTTGAAACTGCTGCGCTCCCAGGACAGGGTCTCCCTCTGCGCAGCGTCGAGGGGTCTGGCGCCTGCGAAAGTGGGGTGCTCCGGTCCCCGGCCGGGCCCCGGGAGGGAGGCCGCGGCGGCGGGAAGGCCCTGTCCGGGAGCTGCCTCAGGGGGGCCCGCAGCGCCGCAGGGACCCCCAGACAGCTTGCCCCTGCGCCCGGACACCCGCCGCCCCACAGCCGCCCCTCAGACGCGCTCTGCGGCCCCACGTGCTGGCCGCTCCTGCTCCCCGGGCCTGACTGCCACCCCGGCGGGCGCTGGGTGCCGGCCCGGCCCGCCTCGGGCCCAGGGAGCGGTGGGTGCTGCGCCCTGAACGGGCTTTGGTTAGGAAGGCCAATGGAAGTGATGGTGGAGACGCTCTTAAAAGTAATTTGCAGTCAGAAAGTACGTGACGCGGGCAGGCCGCGCGAGGGATCGCCTCTGCCGGGATGTCTGCGCGCTGCTCGTCAGAAGCCGCCTCCGCTGATGGCGGCGCTGGCTCCGCGGCGAGCCCGGCCCGCGAGGACGCGTCTGTCTCTACTTCACAAAGGCGGCCTTGATCCCCGGGGCCTGGCAGCCGCGGGAGGGAAGCGGCAGCCGCCTCTGAGAGGCTCCGTGCTCGCCCTGCCGGCTGCCTGTTCCGGGGCTGCGGCCGCCCGCTCCTTTGTCTGCCTCAGCTGGAGGCCGCCCGCGGCCATCTTGGAGTCGCGGCTGGGCTGCTCTCGGGGCGCCCTGGGGAGCTGGCGGGGCCTCCAGGCCGGGTGTGCCCTCCTACTTGGTGGTGGGCTGCGGAGCGAGAGAGGGCCGCTGCCAGCCGTGCCTGGCGGAGGGCACTGCGGCGGGAGGATGTGAATCTGTTAGCAAATGAAGTACTTACTTATCCCCATGCTTCTGCAACCCCTCCTTCTCTGATCGTGGAGGCAGTACTATCTTAATAAAGAAAAAAAACTTACCTCGCTTGTTCTTTGTTAAATTCACAGCATGATATTTTAGCACTGGCAGGAATTTGTACATTCCGTTAATGAGTTGTTAATTGCAAAACATTTTGGTAACCAACAGCAGGTACCAATATTTTTGCAAGCTTCAGCAATGTGATTTTCGTGTTACCCACAATATGGGGTTTTTCGAGTGAAGACACTTTTTGATCAATGTTTGCTTTGGATTGGGCCGGTGAGGATATTTAATTCTGAACCTTCTTTATTGGGGACATGCACGCATGTTCATTCATTAACTATTTACTTAAAGCCTACTGTGTGCAGGAAGCTCTAAGCCCAGGGTTTATGCAGATTAGTCCACTTGGTAAAGGAAATTGGAAAATAGTAAAGGATGTGTATCCTGTCCTCCCTGCCCTGGGCTTCTAGAAGCTTCTTTCCAGGAGAATAAGTAAAGCATAACTTAGTTTGGCTTTTGTCATAAACACAAGTGGAGCGGGGCTAGTACTGGGGGCCTCCTGGCCTCTAGGGAGACTTGGCTCCATTGCATTGACAAGTCTGTTTCTGGAGACTTGGTGGGTCCTGGGGGACGCTGATTACATGGGTGACTTGCATACAATATTTTGATTGTTCCTATTTAGGAGGCTGCAATCATTTTTAATAGTCTGCCTTTTCTGATTCCAGGCTAAGAACTAAGAGTCCTCCTTCTGCCTGCCTAGTTAGGCAGAATGCTGGGTCTGCTTTAAAAGCAGTAACCAACCTGAGAGATCTGGCAGAACTACAGCCGGTGGAATTTAATTGCTGTAGAAGGAGGTGGAATTTAACTTGCTCTTTTTCATAGCTTGTCCTTTTAAAAGTACTGAAGTCATTTACATAAGGTGTTACCTTTTTTATTTGCTTTCTGGTGTACTGCCACTGAGCTGCCCAGACCCAGTGCTCTCTATATTACCTACCTCTCTCTGGTCACATCAAGAGGCAGTCAGCAGTAGAATAATAATTCCATTCCCACCCCCCCTTCTCCCAAAGTGCCCAGCAAGAATTACGGCCATTGTTAGCGGCCTGCTTTGAGCGAGCGCCCACATGGCTGCAGGATTAAACCCAACAAAGGCAACTGCCAGCCCTCTAGGGGGAACGTTGCCTGCCAGGTTTCTGGCTGGTCACATCAGACCTGCGTACCCCAAACCCACCAGTCTCATTTGCTTGTGTGAGTGCCTACTGTGTGCCAGGGACCTCGCCAGCCCTCAGTTACATGATTCTCTTCATTTTCACAGCAGAACCGCCACAGTCAGTGTCGTGACTTCTTGAGAGCTCAGAGTCCTGGAGTCTGGACTAGAGCCCTGTTCTTCTGCCTCCATGCCCAGAGCGCTCTCTTCCCTGTGATTGCAAAGCTTCTTACTTGTTTACAAATCTCTGTCCACTGAACGATCCCACCTAAGTTGTGGTAGAGGCCATGGATCGTGAAGCCTGTCCTCCTCTGGAAGGAGACAGCATATTGGAGAGCAATGCAGGGTGTGGGCCGACTTAGCCAGGTCTGACTTAGCCTCTGGGAAGCTCTGGTATCTGTTCAGAGGTCAGGCAGCTGGGCTGGAGAGTTTGAGAATGGTTTGCTTTTGGATTTGAACCAAAACTACCTCTTCAGAGCAAGGACAAGCCCTCACTTTGTTAGTTCAGTGTCTGCCAAGCAGGAGCTAGAGGTGATTTGAATTCTTGGTCTAAGGAAAGGGTCAGGTAAGGTCAGGACTCTTAGCCAATTCCAGTGGGTGGAACGTAGCTCAGGATGCTGGCCCCAAGACTCTGGCCCTATCTGCTCAAGATGTTTGCGCTGTTCACTTTGAACACTCAGTTTGAATATTGTGCTGTTTTTCTTTTTCGGAACCAGGACCGATCCACCATGCCTGAGGTCAAAGACCTTTCGGAAGCCCTGCCAGAGACATCGATGGACCCCATCACAGGAGTGGGGGTCGTGGCTTCTCGGAACGGGCCCCGACGGGCTACGATGTAGTAAGTCAGGACTCGGCTTTTGCCTTTTGTCCACAGATTTAACAAATATTTATCTCCCGTGTTCTGGACCCTCTGAATCTAGTGTATAAGATGGGCTTCTTCCTCTGGGAACCTAAATGGGGAGGGCAGGCAAGACCAATGGGAAGTTTCGGGTGTCAGAAGACCCGAGCCTTGGAGCTGCTCCTGGCCTTGGCCTCTGTGAACCACCTTCACCTTCTGTGAAGTGAAGTGGTCAGATTCCCCACTGTCCAAAGTCACCTGAGGCTTGACATTGCATGCAGAGGATCCAGGAGAGACCCCCGGTGGTTGTCTTCATCCTGCGGGCACAGGATCCATAAGCACAGCGTCATGTGTTTTTATAGCTCTTCAGGGTTTCCAGAGCAGTCTCCCCACCATGAGCTCTGCAGCGCTCACGACTCGCTGGAAGGCTGGGAG